AATCAGTAGCCAAGAGCTTTAAGCCATGGCCCTTCAAAAGTCCCGTGAAGCAAGCTCTGCATGCGTCTCTATGGCAACCCAGTGAGGTCTGAACCTTTGGCAACGTCACAAGAAACGTGTGTGGGGTAAGATTTTTTTTTTTTGCTCACTCGTTCCCCTGTGTGGCCTTGAGCTGGAAGTTATCGGCTTCTGCGACGCCTGCAGGCATCAGAAGTTCAGGGAACTTCAGGAAATGAAGGCGCCACTTGGTTCAAGCACCCCAGGAGCACGCTATTCCAACACCCTGGGACCCCGCGCCTATTGGATCTGAGATTTGAATCCCGAAGCTTCAAGCGGAGTAGGGCAGATCGAATCCTTAAACAGACCCTCAAGGAGAGGGAGAGCCCTAAGACAAAATAAACGTCATCCAAAATTACAGAAATTTACAGCGTGAATCCCTTGTCAGCTTGGAGCTCAAGAGTTCAAGAGCCTCAGGAGCACATTTTACCCCAAAAACCCCTGCAACTCCAACGCCGACGGATCTGAGATTTGAATGCTGAAGCTTCAAGCGGAGTGAAGGCAGTTCCGTCAAGAGACCCTCAAGGAGGAGAGCCCAAGAGACGCGCCTGCTTCGTGGCTCCTTTCGCCTGTGGCTTGGCTTTTGGGTGCGCTTTCGCCTTAGCCTTTGCCTTGGCCGCTGCTTTGGCCTGGGCCTTTGCGGCCACGAGCTCCTCGCGCTCTTCCTTCTTGCGCGCCCTTTTTTCAGCATCTAGCCGCTTCTGCTGCTGCTTCAAACGCTCCTGGCAAAACACCCCAAAGCCACATGAAAAAAGTTCGGGTTGTGAAATCCATGCAGGGAGAGAGGCCCCACACCAAAGCCTCATGGCAAAGGTAGGGTCTAGGGCGTCAAAGGGTTTATAGGGTTTAGGGTGGAAATGAATGATCCGGAGGCAAGTCCTTCTCTTCCTTCTGGAACTGTCGCCTTGGTGCAGGCACCAGTTTCATGTTTTCTCTCCTCTTTCAACTTTGCTGGCTTACTCTGAGTCTTACCGGAGACACAATTTTTCTTTGCGGGCCCTTTCAGGAACATGTACGCTGATCTACTCGCAGATGCACATGAAGTAAATCACCTGGAACCTGCTAGCATTCTGAGTTGCAAAGTGTTTTGGTGACCTCTGATTGCACCTCCGATCTTAGGATTCTTCGAAAGACGTCCTCAGACACCCATGTTTTTCTCAAGCCGCATGCAAACCTCTGACTCTTCGCATAAGCAGGTCTACTGCACCTGCGCAAAACCCATCGACAAGTCACTGCAACACTGGAGAGTCGCAAATGGTCAGTCATTCTTTTGAGGGGGGCAACAAAGGATCAACTTAAAGCCCTAGGTGATGCTATGCATTCTTAGGGCCACAATGGTCTACAGTGGCCTCAACTTCTTGTGCTCCAAGATGCCAAACTTCAGCAACGGTTGAAAGCAGCACTGCATTTCAGTCCTTCTGGGTATCCCCGAAACTGAGTGATAAGTTAGGGCCTCAGGATAGGCACCTGCAATTTTCAAACGTCCCGTCTAGGCAGCCGTGGAGCAGGAGCTTGAGGCACGCGTTGTCCTGCCCAGCCACGCACAACAACTTGGAAAGCCGAGTTGGCGGAAGAAAACATAGAACAAGTGGACGCGCAAACCTGCACACCGGGGGGGGGAGCAAACACAACAAGCACCAGAAACAGCAACAACATCACCAACACTTGAGAGCGCTTCTAGCTTGCGTGACAAGCAAGCACCTTCACGGCAGCAGCACCGAGACAAATAAACAAACAACATTTCTAGGAGCCGCACACAGACAATCGGAACAGGTAGCACCATGCATCACTTAAATCTCAAACCCTCTGAAAGCACGTGCCTTCTTCTGCTGGACCCCGGCAGCTGCTGTTCTTCCAGAATTGTCCTACAAACTGGGTCTTCGACTTCAACGGGCTCACGATCGCTCAGGATGTATGGAATGATCAAAACAATTGGGGGAAAATTAGTTTTCCCCCGACTGTTAAGTACTTCTCATAATCGTGGCCATCACAGGCTTTCCAGGAGCTTCTGCGGAGAGTTTTAGGCGGTCCGGGTTGCTTGTCTTGAGTTCGCAAGCTTTCAGCAAAGCTTTTTGTGGCCATGGCAGGGTACTATGTGCCATACGGCTGGGAATCAAACATGCAAAAAGACTTCAACTACGTGTTCATTCGGCTCAGCCCAATTACTGCTATACGGTAATAATCCACTCCTTGCAGTGACAGAAAACACAAAAAGTCGAGGAATCGTTTCCCAAAAGGTCTGGAAATACTTGCCAGCATCCTGCATGGACGGATTCGCCCCTCGCTGGAGCAGAAACTTCGCCACATCTGCCTGGCCGTCGGCAATGGCGTAGAAAAGACCTTGAGGCGCTGGCGGCATGGGGTTTGGGATGGCGGCACCGGTTCGCAACGTATCTCGACGATAGCTACGCCCTTGCTCTCATAGTCGCCACTCTCATGGCTGCGAGGTGCATCGCCAGTATGATGACTTGCCACGACTCTGACAATCTCAGAGCGGGCGTGGAAGTGCTGCGAACCGAAAAAAAGTCATGTATGCAATCATTCGGCAGCCCTTGAGGGACTGGTGAGGTAGCAGACGACTCTGCAGCTTGAGCTCAGCCAGCTCTGATGGCTCTGGAGAACGACATGCACTTCACGAAAACAATTGCCCGGCACTTGAGTCACTGAATTAGAAGCACGCCCCGGACCCTAGACATTTTTTCGATTAGTTAAACTCAACGGCTACAAGCAGCAAAAGCCCTGCTTCTGAGGCACACGTTTTCCCATCGCCATCTCGATGGTTGATGTCCTCAGAAATCACAGAGATTTGCCCGGCAAGGCTCCCACCACATCGGCTACAGACAACTCATGCGGAATAAGTCCTTACGACTAGGACAAAGCATTGCATGACCCAAACTGTTGCGTGGATGTTGTCTTCCATGAAACTGAAGGCTGCCAAGCGCCTCTGCAGAGACCATTTGTTTGAAAGTGCCGACGCTTGATGGTTGTTGATCAAAGTCAGTTTTGTACGCCGAGAACCAAAACTTAAGCCCTGCAAGGAATTGATGACCAAGTAAAACCTGGAAAGCCTCATGGGGTCAAGTGCCTTCTTCTTGAGAAGCCTTTTCAGGGGGGGGTTCGGGCAAAGTTGGGAGGTGTTGGGCTTTCATCTTACAAGTGAAAGCCTGCCTCATCCAGAGCCTCTTCTGATTGGCAAAGCCCTTATAAAAACATTCCGTTGCGGTAAGAGTCTGATAAGAGGCCCTTGAGAAGCCCTCCCAAAGACACGGGAAAGTTATCAACCTGCCGTTCTATGATCCTGTTTGCTAGCTTTTGGTCGAAGAAGGCCACGTTTCGGAAGCCATGCCGTCACCCGCACCCATGGCAGGTCGCTGAGAAAAGAACCCACGCCGGGCCCCTCACGGCGTATGACATGGCACAAAATTCTTGCTGCTCCATATAAATTGAACTTCCAGACGAAACCCTCGGCTAAGGAGATGCCGACAAGAGCCGCGTGGCCCTCCAGGCAGTGTCTCATCACCCAGGCCCCGCAAGATCCTGCAAGCCCAAACCACGAACAGCAAGTCTGGCAGGCAAGCGTCTGCTCCGTTCTTCAGGAGCACCTGCACAGCTTCTCATAAGTCTTATCCTTTGACTGAACATGATAAACATGATGAGCGCCATCTGGGAAAGCATGAACCCTTCAAATGTGATCATGGTCGTAACAATGACAAGGGATGTAATAAGCCTACGGAATGTATCAATGGAAAACTTCTGAACTCCCTGCAGGGCACGCATGCTTCAAGACCTCAAATTTGGGGTCATTTATCTTTGTAATCCGGAAGCCCGCGGAAGCTTTGACCATCGGGAGCAGCCCCACTCCCCACCAAGCACATTCTAGATTATGAGGTAAACCTGTTTCCATATCATTCGGATCTCTGTCTGCACGTATGTGCAAGACCTTGTTTAAAAAAAAAAAAGGGAAGACATGCCGCACCAGAATCCCAGTTTGTCTGCAATGCTGGAGCGTTTCAGTACGTCCCAGCCTCAGCCAGTGCCGTGTCGTCTCTCTCCACGGCGAAGAACAGCGGCGTCTGCCGATGATCCTCAAAGGCATTGATCTGCTCCTGGGTTGCGCAGGCCTTTGACATTTGGGGCTGCAAGCTTGGAGCATAAACATCGCACTCACACCGATAAACGAAGCCACAAGCAAGGCCGCGCATGCTCGGCACAAAAGCATCGGATTTTACGAGCTTGCATGCTTATTCACGTCTTTCTGATCGGCCCTTCTACACCTAACATGTTTGCATTTGGAGTTTGATAGAGATGTTCTGGGCGTGTCCAACCAGTTTCCAACTCCCGGGAGCTGAGCGGCGAAGGCTTCCTCGTCTTGTTCAAGCAGCCATTCTGTTGTTGCGCCTGTTGCGATGCAGAGTTTCAGGAGTAGCTCAGCTTCACAAGACGCACATCAAGCATCCATGAAGCACCTGTCGACTGAATTCTGTCTGCCGAAACCAGCACTAAGGCCCTGAGCATGAAACATGTGGGTTGTCGTCAAAATTATGGTCCTTTTTAGGTACCCTAAATATTAGGTGCCGTATTAAAATTGGGATCCAAAAAGGAACCATATTTTGACAACCACCCATGTTGAAAGCATGTGATCTAGACCTAGACATCGCCGGCCTGATTGCGACAAGAAGAATGCCGTCTGGCCCAGTGGCGCAGGGCGCTTGAAGCAAAGGTCATACTTCACGATGTTCCTCAGCCGATCGAAGCACACCCATCTTGCAATGCAGGAGTCGTTGAGGTGTTTGCAGGATAGGAATCTACTCCTTTTTGTTTTTCGTAACTACTGTCTCAAAATTCACGCTCATTTGGGCAGATAGCAGTTGGCATTTGTCTTACTTCAAAGAGCAAAAATGTTGATACAGGCTTGAGCGCAGGGCCCTATCATGTTAGTCTTGTTACTACTATTACAATTATTGTTAATATTGCTATTATGATTACTACTATTGTTGTTGCTGTTGTTGTTCTTGTTATCATTGTTGTATTGGAACTTTTGTTTTTATTGTTAGTGTTATTCCTATTGCCATCCGTGTTATTGTATCATCACTGCAGACATGATGACTTTCAATATGCCTGGCATTGGATGGAGTACTGTACTGGATTCGTAAAAGCAGTCCTGACCCCTACACCCTGAACCCATTCCTCCATTGCTTTAGGCTAAGAGCATTAGTTTTTTCCACTACAAGTAGCAGTCGACAGCATGCAAGAGACGAGATGTGGAGACAAAATCCTCCCTAACCCTCCACTCCCTCCGACGACAGTCCTAGTTTTAGGCGGGTATCCCGTACACCGTACAGAGTACATGGTTTTGCATGTTTCAGAATCACAGGTCCCCACCTGGAGGCAAGCTTATCAAGATCACCAAGGAAACCGGCTGTTGTCTGGGCACATATGGTGACCAACACCTGGAGATACCTGGAGCAACTGTATTAGATCACCCCTCTTGCACACCCATTTCACGGGCTGTTGTTGCATACCTGTGTCGCGAATGCTTCGTACAGATGTCACACATGCGCGACAATCGAGTTTAGTCATAAAAGGAGATTCATGTCGCAAGCCTTGCGGCAATTCGTGTTTAAGCCTCTACCATGTAAGGAGCGCCCAAGCCTGTTACAAGCCCATCGTTTTGGATTCCTAGCTAGTTAAGGATAATTTCGAGACATGCCGGCCAACAAAGCCACGCGCCCTCGAGGGATCTCAGCGCATTTCAACACCCCAAACCTTGACCGGTCATGTTGGGCAAGTGTCAGCACCTGCACGCTGCGACCATTCCGCACGGCCCAGAGGAAAGGCGTGTATCCGAGCCTGAGCTGTTAGTTTCCCAAAGTTAGGGGACCCCAATATCAATCCCAAAATACTATAAGGATCCCCAAAAAATACCCTAATTTTGGGAGACCCCTAGGTGGGCAGGCGGTTTCTATCATGGCTTCCCCCCCCAGGAGGCTGGAAGTGGGGTTCTGCAAATGCCTCAGCCTCGTGGCTGGCTGTGAACTTCAGGCAGCCGGCTTTAGGGTTAATACCGAAGACGCGAGGGATGAGGTCACAAGGAAACACTACCTGCAACTGAGACATAAGAACTTGCTACTCACCCACAAGACTACAGAACACCTCTTCGCATCTCCTGCCTACTGCCATGGCAAGCCTGTTGTGAACTACACTCTGCGCCCCAAAGCTCGTTCAGGCTTC